ACCGACTCAGCTTTCCTCCTGCAGTCGGCATCATTGCCTCTGTTTTGTGAGGTGGAGGACTGTGGACTGGTGTGTTGGGTTAATGGGTTAATGTTGGACTTGTGGGCTTGGGCAGCATTGGGTTGGGATGTTTTCGTGATGCACCTTTTCTTTACATAAAACTCTCTCTTATACGTGAGTCGCCGTGGATTTGTTTCCCCAAAGTACCCAGACTATTACATACCCCAATCATAGTCCATTTCCTGCTTCTGTGGTCCCACCTACATCTGTGATGAATTGATCTGCTGCCATTCACGATTTCGTGTCAGTTTCCTTTGTTCTCCATATCCTGTTCAAATGCCGTTTCTGTGAGGCCTTGGACCCCACTCTGGCCTCTAGGGAATGGTCTCCCTGATCCGGATGATTTGTCTTTGTCTTGTCTTTGGCCTACTGTGTGTGTGTGTGTCTATAGGGTCTTTCTCTCCCTAGAACATAGGTAAACATAAGCAAGCCCAGGCTTACCTTGCTTAGTGGGTAACTGGACGCTGCTCCCAACGCTGCTCTTCCTTCTTTCTACAGCTTCCTCTTGTCCTCGAAACTCAGGACGATTCTCCCTTCTTGCAGAGCGTACTATGGTTTGGGTACATATACCTTCTCAGTGCTTTCATAGTGCTTTCTTTTTTGGCTCTGTTCTAGTACAAGCCACACTTCACTCATTCACCAACTCAATTCATTTATTCAAATAACCAAAATAAGTTCATTGAGTTCTACCTCCTGCCAAGCATTCATCTAGGTTCTGGGTACAAAGTTGTGAGTAAAACAGGCAGTCTCTTTTCATGGAGCTAATGAACACACAGACAAGTAATAGAGATGAAGTAAGGAATATTTTGAGAGTAATTGGAGGAAAGGAGATATTTTACATTTGGGGATCAAGGAAGGATCCTGTGAATGGTAAAAATGAACAAGCCATTCGAAAAAGAAGAGGAAGTGTTCTAAGCAGAAGGAATGGCCGCAACAAAGACCTTGGGTAACTGGCAAGGGTAGAACAGATAGCCAATGTGACTTGACATTGTGGGTGAGGGAGAGAAAGGTCCGCAAGTCGACCAGAAAATCAGATATGGGGCTTTTTGGTGTGTGTGTGTAAATATTTCATTTAGAAAACTTCAGCCTAGGCAATGTGATACCACATGATGGGATGTATGTGGGCAGTTGCTCTCCGTTCTATAATCAGATGCAGGGAGAGTAAGCTAGGATTTTCATTGGGAATGCCATACTCCAGAGGTAGTTACTAAAAGCTAGAGACCAAAAGCTTGTTTAATTAACATAATGAAAATTATAAGTGCATTTTCATTGTTAAAGTTATAGCATGTTAATATAATACATGTATTAAAAATGAATTTTCAATTTAGAAATCAGTGGTGTTTAATATATGTGGTTAAACTGTTTCAGAGATCTTCCTGAATGTAAAAATTCTATAAAAAATTAATTTAAAAAAATAACAAAACTCTGCCTAGCCTTATAGCCTGTTCCCTTAAGGATGTTCCCTCTGGGATCAATCTCTGAATTTCCTTGTCCACCTAGGATTCTGCTTGCTTGATACACTGTAAGTGTAGTCCATTAATCTTACCTCTAGTATATTGCTACTTGCCACTAATGAATTGTTCCTGAAAGTTTGGGTTAGAACATCAAAAACAACAGAGCTGGGACTTCTTCATTGCACCTATAGAACAGATTCTTGACTTTCAAAAACCAACTGTTTCTATGCTCATAGCTATACTATAGGACAGACTAAAACTGCTCATGTGAGTTGATGAAGCTGTAAATCTTTAAAGGATCAGAAAGTCTAATGTTTTTAACCACAGAGTGGCCAGTGGGTTCAAACTACAGACCTTGCGGTCAGTAATCCAACTTATAACCCACTATGCCACAAGGTTCATTATGAGTTGGAATCCATTCAATCACAATGTTAGGTTTTTGGTTTGACTTGCTTCTACCACTCTGAGGAGAAGGGTATTCTAAAACTTGTTTCAGCTTTAGAGTGATATTGTGAGAGAATATAACTAACCCTTGCTTGCTGATACTATTGGTGACCACATGTCTGCAAAACTCCAAACCCTTATGCCGTGTATATACTCGAGGATAAGCCGACTTTTTCAGCACATTTTTAATGCAGTTTTTGTGGTAAAATTAGGTACCTCCGCGGATATTCATGTTGGATTATACTTGAGTATATATGGTATTTATTCCTGACAATACTGGTAAACTGCAGAGGGTTATAGTCTGATAAATTATCAGTTAAAGCCATTAAAACTAAATTCTGTAGGAAGCAAAAGACTAGAATTTGGGAAGGTAACAGATGCCTCCAGTTTCCTGTGATGCCTTTGTGCTTGTGTTCTATAAAGGACAGGGGATACATAGGCACAAACGCATGAAAAACCGGTGTGATTGGTGGTGACTTCGTCATGCCAGCCTGGGAAAACATCTGCTTCACTCTGAAGCCTCCGCTGGGATTAAAGATTGGCTAAAGGAGGAATAGTGCGCCATGGTTGAGGCTAGATTGCATAGCATTTGGGGGAAGAAATAAATGTGCAAAGTCTGCTTTTATACACCAGCTGAGCCACTGCCTGGGGCAGGGGTGGGGAACACTGGCCCCTTGGCCACATAAGTCATCAACACCAGCTGTGTTAGTCCAGGTTGACGAGGGAAACAAAGTCATAGACACTCATGTGTATAAGAAAGAGCTTTATATCAAAGAGCAATTGAATATTGAGAAAACATCCCAGCCCAATCCAGATCAAGTCCATAGGTCCAATATTAGCCCATATGTCCAATACTAGTCCATAAATTCCTCTTTAGACTCATGCAGCACATGCAATGATGCCAAATGCAGGAAGATCACAGGCCAGTGGGAAGAAGGTCTTGTGAATCCAGTGGCAGTGGAAGCTTCTCAACGCTGGCATGAGTCTCCAGGTGTCTCCTCCATGTATCTCCTCTAGTTCTCTGAGTGTCTCAACAGCGGGAAAGGGAAGGCAGAGAGACACTGGGTCTAGCCTTCAGTGATCTATTTATCTCTTTTGTGCCTCCAAATGAGGTCATCAAGCTGTGACCTGATTGACAGGCTAGACTCCACCCCTTAGTTCAAGTTGACAGGAGATCATGTAACTGCTCCACAAGCTAATATCACTCACCTCACCAAAGCGAAGCCATCACATTCCAAAACCAAAGTCACTGCCAGCAAATTGATGCCAACTCACAGCGACCCTTTAGGACAGGGTAGAAATCGCTCCATGAGTGTCCCTGACTATAACTGTTTACTGGAGTCGAAAGTCCCATCTTTCTCCTGAGGAGTGACTGGTGGTTTTGAACTGCTAACCCTGAGGTTCACTAGGGGTCAAGTAATTAAATGACCAGTATGCCCAAGAAATGGCCCTTGGCAGAAAAAAAGTTTCCCCACCTCTGGCCTAGGGGCATGACAAGATGTATTTTCTGAGACTCCAATTAAGAATAGAGAATTGTTTCTGAGAGCAAAAGAATGATCTGCCCCTCTAGATGTCCTCAGTGAGATAAACGATGGTCCCACTCCACCACTCAAATAGCATTCCTGGGTCTGGCTCCTGTTTATGTTTAACAATGCTAACCCATTTGAAATGGAGAAAAAGAAGGTGGATCCATTCATTTCAGTTCTTAAACCAATATCTTAAAAAAAAAAAAATCTCTGGTTGCTAATCCCAATGAAAGGCACTGACTTATATTTTAGAGTTTAAATTCTGCCCGATAACCCTGGTTTGCAAAAGGGTATGAATGGCAGTGACAGCCCAAAATCCATCGAATTTTGCAGACTCCCTACATAAATTAAGCCTCCATTGAATGCTTTCTGACCATTCAATCAGGGTGTTGGTAATCTCACTCTGGCAGAATGACTTGGATTATGGATTGCCCGCACTCCTCTCTGGCCAGCCCAGGGAGGGGCAGTCTCTCTTGTAGGGGCTGGCTTAGGTGTGTCCTTGGTGGAGAGGTCACCATACTGGGGACAGGACAGGGGGTCACAGAGTCATGATCATGCCCTCTCGGTTTTGTCCTTTTTTTTTTTTTAATTAAATTCTTTTACTGGGGGCTCTTACATCTCCCATCACAAGCCATACATTCATCCATTGTGTCAAGCACATTTGTACATATGCTGCCATCATCATTTTCAAAGCATTTTATTTCTACTTGAGCCCTTGATATCAGCTCCTCATTTTCCCCCCTCCCTCTCCCACCCTCCCTCCCTCATGAACCCTTGATAAATGATAGATTATTATTTTCATATCTTACATCATCCTCTGTCGCCTTTCACCCACTTTTCTGTTGTTCATCCCCCTGGGAGGGGGTTACATGTTGATCCTTGTGTGTCCTGACTTTCTTTGTCGGGAGTCCCAGGACCAATCTTGTAAGCCCTTCTCTCTAACAATATATGTGCGTCCCAATCATGGTCGTGGTCCTGCTCCTGTAGTCACACCTATCACTGTGATGCACTGGTCTTCCACCAGTCATGCTTTTCTGACCGTTGCCTTGGCCCTCCCATGTCCTTTTAAAGGCTTGGTATCTCCTTGAGCCCTGGACAGCCATTTCAGCCTCATGTTGGTGGCCTCCCTCATCCAGAAGATGTGTCTGTGTCTTGTCTTTGTCTCTTTTAAGACTTAATAAATGTTCTCTTGAAATTATGTTTGAGATTGGGTCTCTTTTGTACCCTAAAATACCTTATTATCTATAAATCTTCAGTTGAGTATTATATAACCAAAAATGTAATAATGGAATTATTTATTTTTCAAATTCAAGATCATCATTCAAGGCAACAGAACAAATATACAAAACAATGTCTGAAACATTTTACTATAATATTAGAGTCATAACTATAAATTATCATAATCTCTTAGGAATGCATGGAGAATCTTGAATGATAAAGTGAGATGCTGTTTAAAATCCAGTTCAAATTTTATAAGTACATCATTAGTAGTCCGTTTTCCTTATGGATCTACTGTTTAGAATTTAATTGCACTTGTGAAAAGTTTAAAGGCTGTTATTTTGTCCATAATTTCATGTGCTCCTATCATAGTTAATGTCCGAATCAGTTGGTCTCTTAGAGCCACTGCAGACTGTGATGAGTTATTACTGTCTGTTTTCCATGATTGAAGTGCTTGGTAAACTCTTTCACTTAATGTTAAATTGCTGAAAATAAAAAATAAAAAAATTAACAATTGATAACACTGTTTTAAACTACTTAACTATTCTATATACAGGCTTCCATCCTAATTTATCAAATTATTGTGAGGATTGTGGAATCTCATGAAAAGCAAGGATGGAGAGCCAGGAGTGGAGGCAAGGGCCTTTGGACCTGGGATCCTTGTGCTGAGAACTTTCTCAATCCAGCAGAAACAGCTTGTGACGCCAAAGAGGCTGTGAGGAGCAGCAGCAGAGGCCGCAGGGCCAAGAAAAGAGCATGAGACAGACAAGTGGACTTTCTGGCCCACAGAGCATCTTCAGGCTTTCTAGGCTTGCTGGTAGAGTGGGTTTAGCTAGGTTTGCCAATCCCCACGGAGCTACAGTCAGTGCCTTCAGGCAGAGGCTTCCTGGAAAACTGGGGTATCTGTGAGCATTTATCAATGGAGCTAAAATTGCTTTCTAATTTTTGCTCAAGCAGGAGAGGGGCTGAGAGAGAGAGAAAGAGCAAGAGATTGATCTGCTGTTCTAAGACTAACCTAGTGTTCCTGAACTTCATTTGTAACCACTTACTTTCCTAATAACCTCCACAATCCTTATTGTCTATTGGTTCTATGTGGCCATTGCAAAGAACCATTGAACCAGCAGAGAAGTACAGAGTGCCACTGGGATGGCTCTATAGGAACCAGCCTGACACTATTACTTCACATAAAGATTCTCCTTCCCCCCTGTAAAGTCAGGAGTACAGATGCCTTTACCAGTTGGCATCAGAAGAGGGATTCAATGCAATGGCAGCAAACTCATGAAACAAGGAACTTCATAAGAAAAAGGACAGGGCATGGAAAGTGAAACTTTCAATTCTTAGAATTTGATTGCAACTGTGGTTGCTACCTGTAATGAATGGATGGGAAGAAAGAGATCTTTTGCTGCAGTAGAGGGGAGAAAAAATGCATCTGGAGTGACCTAGGGAAAAAGCCAGGCTGATTAAATGACAGATGACTGGTAAGGGGGCCAGGGTTTCACCCAGACAGAAGCTCAGTGCCAAATGCATACGAACAGGTAGATGGCCAAGGTGTGGGGAAGAGATGAAGCTGGAATGTTTTTTAAAGGTTTATGTGTTTATCTGAACATATTATGTTTATTAAATGTGTCTCCTACCTAGTGTCATTATACAGATTTAAATATAATGTTAGAAATGAATATTGTACACCCCTCACTTACCCATAGGCCTACAGGGGACAACACCGGAGACACAGTGTGGGAATTGCACCCGATCTGACCCCACCATATCGAGGCAAAACACTAAGGGGGTGCAACAGAACAGTAAGGATATGGAGCGGCGAGGTCACCAGGCAATGCTGAAGGTGGACTTTGGGGTTAGGGAGTGGTGTCCCAACAGACTGGACTGGGAAACACTCCTAAAGGCCAACAAATGATCCTTGAACTAACTACAAATTTTTCTTTCTTGTTGTGTTTTGTTTTGTTTTTTGTCATTGGTTTGTTGTTGTTGGTTTATTGTTGTTGTTTGCTGTATATTGTTGCTTGGTTTTGCTCTGTCTTGTTTTTGTGCATGTTATTCTCTCCACAGGTCTAAATAAGATAGGCTGGATGAACAATCTGGAGGAGAAAACAACGGAACTGAGAGTTTTGCGGGGACATGGGAGAGGGGGAGGTGGGGGGAAAGGTAGTGGTGTTAACAAACCCAGGGACAAAGGAACAACAAGTGATCCAAAT